TATATATACACACACACATATATATATACACACAGGTGAAAACGGAAGACATGAATCACATGTTCTTGTACAGGTAAAAATGTAACAATTCCAAGTCTTCTTCAGATTAACAGTCTTGTGCATTCGACTGTTTCACAACTGTTTTGATTTTTCAACATGTCCAGTCATCTAGCAAAGTTAATTCATATCTACTATGTACACAGACAGTTTTGTTAGGTGTGGTATGTATATTTTTTGCTAAAATACATTTTGGTCCATCAAGCCAACTCTGCGTATATAGACTTCTGATTTTTTCCAAAGAAAGCAGCTATCTGGTTATATTCTGGTTTAATAAGTTGAAACAAACTATACCATAGCTTTTAAAAAAAGTCTTTTTAGGTGTCTTCTTTAGGCACATGAACCTTCATTTAAAAGACTAGAAATACCATTCTTCTTTCCGGCACCAGTTTCTCCTGAAATTTACAATCACTGCATTCCTATTGCAATTCATTAGGAAGATGGCCAATATCTGCAGACATCCTACTACTACTACTGATGAATGTATCTGATGGTTTATAGTCGAGCTTTGTAAATCACTGATAGGACTTAAAGTAACATGCTTCACGAGCCCAATAACTGAGTAGTTACTGAATGAATGAACAACCATCATCTCTGGCTTCCCCTTCCACCACTGTGCTGGCAGGAGAAGGCTGTCCAGCTGGTTAAGGGAGTCGCCTTGGATGCGGGCACTGCTAAGCCAGCTACTACCTCCACTTTGCATTCCAGGCTCTTCCACGCTGCTGTCCATGCAGTTTCCAACCATGTGCGTCATGTTGCACTCCTTCAGCTATAGTCATTTCAGACAGGCTGGAAAAGACCTCACCTGCTCAAAAAATATTATTTACAAAGCCCCCACCCAAAATGAAACTACCAGACACCACTCAGGTTCTTATGAATGAAGGCACACAGAACCAGTGTGTTGAACTGAGCAAAAGAACAAACCAGAAGAGCAAAAGTTATTATAGAAATTTTAGGTCTGAGCGTGAGATTTCTTAAGGCCATCTGGGCAGCAAACTGATCCTTAAAGATGAAGATCTGGGGAGATGGAGAAATTTGGAAATGGAGCGTGGTGATGGGTGTACAATGTGATGAATGTAATCAACGTCACTGAGTTGTACATGTAACCGGAAGAGAAACCAGATGCTGGCTGCTGTCAACTCTGACTCGTGTGGCTCCACGTGTCACAAAGCAGAACCTCCAATGGTTTTATGGGCTGTAGTCTTCACAGAAACAGGTCATCAGGCCTGTCTTCCACAGAGCGGCTGGCTGGGTTTAAACCCCTAACTTCCCGGTTAGTAGTTGAGGTGTTGAAATAGTGAACGTTTTCTTATGTATCTTGTTTTACAATTTAAAAAAAAAAAAATGGCTGATTTGAAAACCTGTTCCATGGAATGGAAGAAGTGGAGTGTGCAATGAGTGCAGAGCAGGCTGGGAGGGGAGTGGCCACCCAAGGGGACCCCAGTCAGCTCACCTGGGGAGGCCGGGTACTGGGCTTGGGGAACAAGACCTCCCGGTGGGATAAGAGCCGAGCAGCTATTGGGTGCCCCTCTTTCACACAGAGGGTGCAAAATGCAAAATCCCTCTCAGCATGACAAGGAAGGACAGGAAGCGGGAAGGGTGAAGGGAGACATGGACTTGTTAGCGGTTCTCTAAGAGAAAATTCAACTCTTTGCCCAAAGGAAAGCAGCTGCAGCTCTGTCATGTCTCCTTACCTTTTCCCCGGCTCTTCTGGAATAGCCTATGACGTTGCCTTCCTTGTCCATGACCCTGATGCCTCGTGCGGGCTCCAAACTTCGGGATGCTAGGACGTTCACCCCGCTGACATGGGCTGGGGTCAGATGAGAACACACAGGGGCCATGAGTTTCAGTTCACCATCTAAGGGTCTGCGCACTTCAAGTCTCTTGCTGACACGTCTCCCACCAATCCTCAGGTGTTCCCTGGCATCAGCTGGGCCAGCCAAGCTCCCTTGTGTGTAGTGGGGGGTACGACTGGCGGCAGAACTGCTAGCTACTCATTCTTGGATCCCAACTAAGTCCCAGCACCAGGTTCCGCCCTCTGAGGCACAGCCTTCCTCTGATAGGACTGCAGGGAGAACCCCAAGATCCTTGAGACACACCCCCTTCTTTGCTTAATCTGATTTGACCTGGTTTCTGTAATGCAATTTCACCACTGACATTGTTTGGGTTCTCTTGTACTGCTCTGAGAGACCACAGGTGGCAGCTTCAATAAACAACAGTTTACTCTCTTACAGTTCGGGAGGCTAGAAGTCCAGAGTTCAAAGTGCCAAGCTCTAGGGGATGGGTGAAAGCCCCTCGACCTTGGGCTTCAGCTCTGCTTCTTGCTCCTGGCCCACTGGAGCTGGAGGTGTCTCTTTACTCAGACAGCTGCTGGCTGCTGAGGCTGACAAGCCCAAAGTTGACAAGTGAAATGGCACAGTCCCAATACTACCAAACCGCACAGCAGGCCATTAGTTCAAGTCCAGAGACAGTCCCAAGATTGCCAGGAAACATGGCAGGCTGCTAAACGAAGACTCGGCTACACGCAGGGTCCAAGTGTGCCAAAAAGCTGCAGAGACCTTTCTCAAAACTTCTCCTCATATACTGGAAGCAGACCACATCCCTAAGGCAGCTACTCAGCTCCTCACGGTAAATTCCACCATGAAAGTGATTACTAGTCTCATCACGGGGAGTGACTACATCCAGCTGCCCCACCACTCAAAACCAGGGTCAGCCACAATGACACAAAACCTTTACCACACAGGCCCAGCCACATTGACACACGACCTTAACTACCACACAGGCCCAGCCACGCTGACATGTAACCTTAACCACCATAGGCATCACTCTGCAAACTCTCCAAACTGCTGTGAATCCCAGTGTGGAGCAGGAGCTAGTCAATGTGCCAACTGGTAAACTTAAACAGTTTATCTGTTACAGTCTCTGGAGTCACACTGCCAGGCTGGAATCCCAGTGTCACCCTTTGCTTGCTGTGTGACCCTGAGAATGTTACTTAACCTCCCTGTGCCTCCGTCTCATCTGTACATGGCACTGATACCACCTACCCGTAAGTCATTGTCAGGGGTAAGTGAAATAATGTGGTAGAGAACTTGTGCAGTCTTTAAAAAGGAATTTGGGTTTTCCAGGCTTGTATTCATCCTGTGACAATTAAAAGACGTTACGAACTGAACTGTGTCCCCTAAAAATATGTGTTGCAAATCCTAACCCCTACACCCATGGATGTAAGCACCTTTGGGAATAGGGCTTCCTTTGTTATGTTAATGGACTGTATCGGTGTAGGGTGTGTCTTAAACCTAGACACTTTTTTTTTTTGAGGGGGCACCGGATTTTATTATAGGGACTGAGTTCACTGAGGGAGGCATAACTTGTGTGTGGGGGGTGTGAATGGTGGAAAGGAAGGAAAGTAAACTCTGACAGTTGGGTGAGGGGGATAATAGGGAATGCTGTGGGAAAGGTAAGGCATTAGGGACAAGAAGAGCTGGAGAGAGGAAAGGGCTCCAGTGGAAAGGCGGCAAGGAAGGGGAGAGGAAGGGGCTGAAGGACTTGAATGCTGGTGGCTGAAGACTGGGAGGGGTGGTATTTTCAGAAGAGGAAGCAGGAGCTAAAAACAAAGCCGTGGACTAGGGAAACTGACAGTGCCCAGGACTTCCTGGAGGAGCTCGCTGACCAGTGCTGGCCTCTTTACTTTGGGGCACCCAGTGCCAGGGCAATGATGAAACCCACACCCAGGATGAACACGGCAACCGACAGCAGCACCGTGATGACCACCATGCCCCTCGTTTGGGCCAGGCCCGACCCAATGGACTCCATCCTCCTTCAAGGAAGCCTGGACATTGGGATCTCTTTACTGGATTCAGTGGATGTCCCCTTCTTCATTAGGAAGGAAATGCTTTTGTGGGAGATCAGGCACAGAAGTGGCACAAATGGGGCCAAGACAGATGTCAAGCAGAGACCTCCAAGAAACACCAAGAAACTGAGACAAGAACCTTCTGCCAGAGTCGACAGAGAGAGGGTGTTCATCCATAGAGTGGGTGCCCTGAACTCGGACTTCTAGTCTCCCCAGCTGAGAAAATCAAAGCCACCCACTGGTACGTTCCTGTCGCAGCAACACTGATAACTAAGAACAGGGGCATCTGCAGGGAAGGGCTGTCTCCCAGACCCGAGACCGAATTCGGGCCTGGGGGAGCTGGCAGGCTGCAAGAAGTGGCTGTCAGCGGCCACATCGTGGACGAGGGACCAGGAGGCTCTGGTGATGGCCGAGGGCTTGAAGGCCACAGAGACAAGTCGTAGCCCTTCCCTCTCACCAAGGAAGAGGACCAGGAGGGACAGAGACAAGCCCCAGCCCTTCCCGCTCACCGAGGAAGAGGACCGGAAGGGCTCTGCTGACCAAAAACCGAACACGATAGTTATCCAGGGAACACTTCATTTGTGCCAACTGAGGAATTATCTAAAAAATAAGAGAGAAAACCAGTATTACAGGAGAACAAAAATCAGTGAGGCAGACTCAACAGCAGAGAGCTAACCTTTACCTGGTTCCTATTACAGGTCAGGCAACGTGCCAAGGCTTTCCATGTGTTTTTTCATTTTAGTTTTTGTAAAGCAAGATAGGTATTGTATTGTCATGCTCCCTGCTTACCAGAGGGGTAAACCAAAACTCAGAGTTACAGAGTCCTTATGGGTCAGAGCCAGGACTCTCACCAGGTTTGCCTGACATCAATGTTGACACCTGTAACCATAACCATGTCCTGAGAACCAAAGCAATACACAACCTGTGTAACAAGTTAAAAGGAGCCTTGATGACACAGTGGTTAAGTACTCGGCTGATAACCAAAAGGTCAGTGGTTTGAACCTCTGTGGGAGAAAGATGTGGCAGTCTACTTCTATAAAGGTTTACAGCCTTAGAAATCCTATGGGGCAATTCTACTCTGTCCTTCACAGTTGCTATGAGGCAGAATTGATCAGAGAACAATGGGTAAAACATGTTTGTGTGGCATAAATTGATTTTTTAAATTAACTTTTACTTGAGTCTATGTGCAGGAATTTAGCAGGTTAACATGATTATTAATCCAGAGTGGCAGGATTATAACACCTGTTGATTCCGACTCCTGGTGCCCCGATGTGTGTCAGAGAAGGACTGTGCTCTGTAAGGTTTTCAACAGCTGACTTTCTGGAAGATCATCCAGTCGGTGGTGGTTATGCTTGTGTGTCCACTTGGCTGGGCCTGGCTGAGTGGCTGGGCAGCTGAACGGAGTTATTCCCCATGGTGATACTGGTACCTAACTGCATGGTGGAATCTATTGGAGCAGCTGAGTAGCTGCTTTGGGTATGTGGTCTGCTTCCCGTATGTAAGAAACAGCTTTGGGAATGGTCTCCAGCTTATGGCATGCTTGAACTTTGCATGTTAGCTGTGTCGTTTTTCAGCAGCATGCCATGCTCTGCCGACCTTGGGCTTGTTAGCCTCAGCAGTCAGTAGCTGCCTGGGTGAAGAGATGCCTCTAGCTTCAGTGGGCCAGAAGCAAGAGGCAGAGCTGAAGCCCAAGGTTGAGGGGCTTTCACACTGCCCCGAGAGCCTGGCACTTTGACCTTGGACTTCTAGCCACCTGAACTGTAAGAGAATAAACTCCTGTTTGTTAAAGCCGTCCCATTTGTGGTGTATTCCCGTCAGAGCAGCACTAGGAGACCAGACCACAGTCTTTCCTCTGAGGTGTCTTTGGGAGGACTTGAACCTGTAAACTTTTGGTTGGTGGCCAAGCACGTGAACTGCCCCTATTACCCAGGGACTCCTGCTAGAATTATACAAAACTTTTATCTTCTTCATGTCTTATTCATACGTTCTAAATCATTTAAGCTGGAACATCAATTCGTTATCAGAATAAACCTTTTTTTGATTCCAAATGCAAGAGGTTCATGGATTCTTTTAAATACCTACTCCAATAAAGGTTGAAGCCACAACTACTCCCGCCCCTAGGAGTAGACTCTCTTGTGGGCGATGTTGCTGAGGAAAAAGAAAAGACCATGTTAGCAAATACACACTTCTACCCAGCAAGGATAATGCAAAAAGGGAAAGAGCAATACTAAAGCTGCAGGCCCTGTGGGTCGCTAATACTCACGGAACTCGTGTTCCCATTGATAATGTTGAAGGCCGTGGTATAGGTATAAAGCGAAAACTGTCGGAAGATACAGGCAAACAGAACAAATTTTGGTTCTGAGCATGACAGGGTTTAGAAATCACAAAATAGAAACAATGGCTACCTGAGGCAAAATCGTGGACTTTATCCCTTTTGATGGCATCATCGAAAAAAAAACCTTTTAAGAAGAAAGTAAAACAGATATAATTATGGGTTTTTTTGGGGGGGTGGGTAGAGCCTGCAGGAGCCCAGAACCTCCCAGGGCAGACGTGCAGCTGAGCCCCCAGGAGCTGGGACAAGGATAGCAGAGTGGAGGACACAGGGGCCATTGGTCAGTGGCCAGGCTGGTGCTCAGGAGCATGGACAGGGGCACTGAAGTCGTGCTCTGTGGTCACCTGTCCCCAAGACCTGCAGTCGGCAGGGCAGCTCAGAAGTGTGTGCTTGCAGCGGGACGCGGCTGCAGAGCGGGTGTGGAAGGAGGGATGGGAGACATGGGCAAAAGCACCTCAGGAGAGCCAAGGTGGATGGCCTTAGCAGGCAATTCCGGTCCCAGGGGAGGGCCTGGCCGGGGCAGGACTTGGGCCAGAAGGTAACAGATCACCACCTAGGGCCTATGGGACTGTCTTACTGATCTCCTCCATAGCTCTCTGCACACAGGAGGTGTCAAACCAACAATTACCTGGGACACTATGAGCCTTCAAGAGGCATTCTGACGGGATAGGTATGCGTTTTGGGGGCGGGCACATATGAACGACAGGGTCACAGGTGGGAGGGGTGTCAACAGGAGGGACACCAGCTGAAGTTAGAAGCTGGGTGGACGTCTTCCTAAGCCCCCATTTCTTACTGGAGAGTGGGAGCTTACTCACCATGGGCCCTGTGAAAGGCAGGAAAGCTGCAGAGAAGAGAAGAGCTGTCAGTGAGCACAGCGGCTGAGGCGGAGAGTGGATGGGAAGGGGGCATGGCGCCTGGAAACCCTGCACTGGCCTCCTGAAATCACAGGCCTCTGAGGAAGTTTCACTCTTATTTTTTCCAAGTAAATTGATAAACAGGTGCGTATGCCATGGAATGAAAGTCGCAGCAGAGAGACATCAGAGACCCCCTCCAGCCTTCCCGGTCCCTCCACCAAAGGTAAGCACTGGGGACGGTTTCTTGTTCATCCCTCCAGATGACTCATTCAATAGAACTCTCAGGATATATGAATTCCTAGGGGCTGCAAAGGTTAGCATGCTTGTCTGCCAACCAAAAGGCTGGAGGCTCAACTCTGCCCAGAGATACCTCAGAAGAGAGGCCTGACAACCTACTTCTGAAAAATCAGCCATTAAAACCCTACAGGGCACAGTTGTGCGCTGATACACATGGTGACACCATGTGTTGGAATCCACCTGACGGTAGTGGGTTTGGTTTATCAGCATGTACACATCCCTCCCTCCCATGCCCCCGCCCTCCACAGCCCTTATTTATACAAACAGGGTCATGACACCATTTTACACTTTGCTTTTCCCCCCTTAACACTAATTCCTGGAGATCCATCCTTCTTATTAGCACATAAGACTTACTTTATTCTTTTTATGAATTATTTAACCAGAGTCTGAATTGTTAGCTATTTATGTTGTTTCTGGTGTTCTACTTAAAATATACACATAGAATTTTAGAGTAGAAGGGCCCTATTTGATCTTGAAGTCTCTTCTCTTTTAGTTAGACACGGTGACGATGAGAGTGGGAGTAGAATGCTATCTTTACTTATGAGTTATACATTCTGAAACCATCACTGAGATACTCAGCTATGCTCACTGGGCAGGAAGGGCCAGGGCAGGTGCAGCCCAGTCTTGTCTCCTCACCCCCAAAGCCCGAGATCTTTCTGCGGGACTGGACACAGATCCGGCCCCTGAGCCTGCTCCTCTCCACCATCAACCACAGACCCTTCAAACATTCCTTTTAAGCTACGATTTCCAGAGTTGCCACCAGAAATCCCTCTGTTGTTGTTGTTGTTATGTGTCGTCGAGTCAGCCCTGACTCATAGCGACCCCTCCTTGGGTTTCCGAGGCAGTATCACTACGGAAGTAGGATTGCCCAACCTTCCTTCCGAGGAGTGGCTGGTGGGTTTGAACCGCCAGCCTTCTGGTTAGCAGTCAAGTGCCTTAGCCACTATGCTACCAGAGCTCCCTCCCAGAAATCCCTCTAGGAACAAAAAAAAAAAACCCAACTCACCTGCAGGTCGAAAAGGAGCAGGGATCAGTTTGCTATTGTCAGGATGCACGGTTGACTTCAAAAAGGTAAACACAGAGGTCAGTGTGACGTTTGGTTTTGTTATTTCAACCCGCTGCGGAAGAGTCCACTCCAACTCACAGAGACCCCACGTGCGTGAGAGTAGAACTGTGCTTCGTAAGGTGGTTGGTGGCTGGAACCTTACAGAAGTAGATCACCAGACCTTTCTTCCACAGCTCTACTAAGAGGCTCTGGACGACTAACATTTCAATTAGTGGCCAAGCATAAACCATTGTGACACCCAGGGACCTTTGCTATTTCAGGGGGTCAAAAATGACTACAGGGCTAAAACTCACAAGACTTCTCTTCCAAGCCTCTTGCATCTAAAAAGAGAAAAAAACAAGCAGTAACTTTTCAGGTGGCTTGGCAGAAAAACATCTCCTCACCCATCTCATTTCTGGTGTCCCCTTTAGTCCACCTTTCACAAAGGAAAGGCCAGGGCTGTTTTCCTACCATGTGGACAGAGCAAATCAAAAGAAATGACAAATGAATCAAAATGAACAAATGAACTAATAAGTAAAGAGAAAAGCCACACAGAGAAAAACCACAAGGCCACTGAAAGGCCCTAAGTTATTCTCTCTGACTTTGGAGAGGACTCAAGGTCAGCACCTGACTGGTCAGCCCTGTGGTCCTGCAACTCTGCAGCCTCTGAATCCAGCTGCCCCCGCTCTGAGCAGAGCAGGCATATGCTGACAAACACCACCATATCGTTACTCAAGCTGTCAGCCAGAGGCCCCAACATGCGCTCAGTTAAATAGGACAGCTTCCACGAGCTGCCTGTGGGACTGATTCTGCGGGCTCCAGAAGGCCCCACACACCACTAGGTCCGCACAGGGGAGGTAACAAGCACTCGACTGGACGCTTTGTGCAGGAACGTAGCCCGCCCTGGAACACGGTCAGAGATGTGACTCTGACTCAGCAGGCCTGCCAGCACTCTGGGGTTTGCCAGGGGCTCCTGGGAATGAGCCACAGAGAACTTCCATTACTACCTGCTGCTCCAGCTGGTCTGCTGATGTTGTTAGGTGCTGCTGACTCCATTCCCAATCATAGCGACCCCACGGGACAGAGGAGAACTGGCCCATAGGGCTGTCTAGGCTATAATCTTTATGGGACCACATCACCGGGTCTTTTCTCCTACAGAGCTGCTGGGTGGGTTCAAACCACCAACTTTGGGGTCAGAAGCTGAATGTTTAAGCACTGAGCCACCAGGGCTCCTTCTAGTTGCTTTATGAGAAGGAAGTCTAACTACATTTAAACACCTAACCAAGTTTTAAACACTGGTCCTGTTGGCATTTCAAATGATAAGCCCAGTGGTGCGGGGCAATGATAAGATTGCAATGACATGAAAACTTCATGATTTCAGACCATTCTGGCAGAATCATCTGAAGGCACACCCAGCCCTGATCCAGGTACACTTGGGCACGAAGACACACCTTCTTGTCCTCCACGCTTCCTCTGGCTTCATCTATTGATAAAAGTTGTCTCAACTTTTCTATTTTCTCCTACAATCAAACAAAGAAATCAAGCAACAATCTCATCATCGTTCAGATTTATCACAGATTTGGAAATCATAAGATCACTCACCAGCACACACTGCATGTAAACTGCACAGCTAACTCCAGTGCACACACTGTATGTAAATTGCCCAGCTAACTCCATGCACACACTGCACGTAAACTGTACAGCTAACTCTAGTGCACATGCTGTATATAAATTGCACAGCTAACTCCACTGCACACACTGTATCTAAACTGCACAGCTACCTCCAGTGTACATGCTGTACGTAAACTGCACAGCCAACTCCAGTGCACACACTGTATGTAAATTGCACAGCTAACTCCAGTGCACACACAGTACATAGACCGCACAGCTAACTCCAGTGCACACGCAGTACATAGACCGCACAGCTAACTCCATGTACATGCAGTATATAGACTGCACAGTTAACTATAGTGCACACACTGTACGTAGACCACACAGCTAACTCCAGTGCACACATGGTATGTAGACTGTACAGCTAACTCCAGTGCACATGCAGTATGTAGACCGCACAGCTAACTCCATGCGTACATGGTATGTAGACCACACCGCTAACTCCAGTGCACACGTTGTATGTAGACCGCACAGCTAACTCCATGCGTACATGGTATGTAGACCACACCGCTAACTCCAGTGCACACGTTGTATGTAGACCGCACAGCTAACTCCAGTGCACACACTGCATGCAAAGTTCACAGCTAACTCCATGCACACACTGCATGTAAATTGTACAGCTAACTCTGGGACACAAATTATATGTAAACTGTAGAGCTAACTCCAGTGGACATGCTGCATGTAAAGCATATAGCTAACTCCATGCACATACTATATGTAAACCGTACAGCTAACTCCAGTGCACACATGTATGTAAACCATACAACTAACTCCAGCACATGCTGTATGTAAACTGTACAGCTGATTCCAGTGCAGGTGGTACAATGAGGTTGTCCACTTCCTGCGAGTTTCCAGTGGGACAATCCCAAGCATAATTCCGACTTAGAACTCCCAGCTTCCCAGTCAGCCCCACCGACTTATGCCACTGCTGTTGCCCCTCAGCCCCCGTTCTTCTCTGATAGTAACTGTCTCAGTGAACACCACCACCACCTGCCTAGTGTCTCAAGTCAGAAACCAGAAGTCCCTTCCCTCTCATTCACCCCACATCTAGTCATTCCCGTCTTGTTCACTCTCTTTCTGCATTCTTAATTTGAGAAAATAATTTAAATACAGAAAAATACAGACTGATTCACACTCATGATCCCATCATCCAGAACTGACAGCTGGAAACACTCCATCACACTTGCTTCCCATCACCACCAGTTTCATCTTCCTCCCCATGCTACTATTCTAAAGGGATGCAGAAGTACGAGTTCTCGGTATGGCCTTCCCGCCCCTGCATTTATCTGGTGGTGCGGTGGTGGAACCCTTGCCTTCCACACTGCAGACCTGGGTTCGATTCCCAGCCAACACACCTCCCGCGCAGCCACCACCTGCATCAGGGAATCTCAACAGGTTCAGAGGAGCTTCCAGAGTAAGAACAATCAGGGAGAGAGGCCTGGTGATCCATTCCCAAAAATCAAGTCAGTGAGTAGCTATGGATCACAAGGGTCTGATCTGCAACTGACCGTGGGGTGAGCGCAGGACCAGCAGTATTTCATTCCGCTCTGCACGAGGTCACTGTGAGCCAGGGGCCCACTTGGTCGCAGCTACCAGTAACAGGTGAAGACATGTATCCATAACCAATATACGGCATTATTTTTAAGTACATTGTAATTTCCAAAAGGGCTATCACTTATGCATCTTGCTTTTTCCTCTAAAGATCACAGATATCATCTTTCCATTTAACATATGACATCTAACCACTTCAACACTTTTAACAGCTAATCTGAATTCCTTGGTATGAATATACCACTTTTTGTCTGTTTCCACACTGATGGCATTCAAGTTGTTTCTCAAGTTTTTCTTTATTATAAACAAGGCTGCAAGGACCCTCTTGAGCACAGGTATGAGAATGTCTCTTTGTCTCCTACCCTGAAGGGTAATTGCTGGTGACGGGGCATCTCCTCTTCACCCCTGGGCCACAGCCGCGGCAAACCCTCCTCCTTCACTCAGACATTGAGCCGCCTCCTGAACAGATTGCTCCACCCACAGTGTGGTCTCCTCTGTGTACACTCAACACACAGCTGCCAAAGAGACCCCATGAAACACAAAGGGGCCCATCTCCATCGCCTGCCCTGTAGGATAAGGGTGATCTCCCCTCATCTGAACAACACACAAGGCCCTTAAAGGCGTGCCTCATCTTCCATGGACTGCTGAGAGGATTAATAGATCTGTCCTGAGGAAGTGCTGCCAGAATGGTTCTTGGGAGTGAGAACGGCCAGACTTTATTCCACCTACTTTGGTCATGCTGTCAGGAAGAACCATTCCCTGGAGAAGGACATCATGCTTGCTGAAATGGAGGGCCAACAAAGAAGGGGAATGCCTTCAAGGAGATGGACTGACACAGTGGCTGCAACGATGGGCTCAGGTATAGCAAGGATCATGAGGCTGGCCCAGGACCGGGCAGTGTTTTGTTCTGCTGTGCACAGGGTCTCTGGAGTCAGAGACGACTTGACGGCACCTAACAACATCATCTCCCAGCATGAAAAGCTCTGGTGACTTCGATCTGCTCTTGACCCTGGCCTTTCTTTCTAGTGTTTTAGTTGGAAGCTCTGCTGAAGCCTGCCCACCGTCAGTGACCCTGCTGGTATTTGAAATACTGGCAGCATAGTTTCCAGCATCATTACAACATGCAAGCCACCACAGTACGACAGACTGACAGATGGGTGGTAGGTCTTCCTCCTGGCTCCAGTCCCCGCCACACTCCTCCTCCAGCTTCTGGTTTGTGACCAGCATTTCTGGTCTGTCTTCCGTTACACAGAGGGTTTGTTTTAATTCTCTTCAAATCACCAACACCTGGCCCAGGGCTTGGCATTACCTGTTGGACCCATGTACACTTTTTTTTTTTTT